ATCAGCTACCTGCCAAAAATGGTCCCGTCAAAGTCGATCCAGCCATTTCAGAGATTAGCCGGAACAAACAGACAGACAGACAAAAATTGTAAAAAAAAATATTTTGGTATATGTACGGTATTTATATTCATATGCATGTAGTAAAAAACTGTCATTTCAATATTACAAACAGACACTCCAATTTTATTTATATGTATAGATTACACTGAACTCGTATTTTAGTCATTTAGCGTTATGTGAACCCATCTAATGACTGTTCAATCATTTCAATCATTACTACGTTACGTTTCCGTAATTATGGAATTTATATAAACATGCATTAATTATTGAATTTATATATTGCATATAAATATGCAATACAATAATTTAATTATGGTTTCAACACATCACTACTTTCATTAAAACAATGCTCAATACTGAACGACACCGACACAATATCGGACATGTGACAACCCTGGACGCACCACTCCAAACATTCTAACACGGGCTGGTATTTTCAGAACGTAATAACAACTTGCAAACAATGCACAAAGGCGGAATACAATTTTAAGTTTACATGTCGAGCGTATATCACATTTCACGCCCTATGAAGCCCCAGTGAGTCAGCGGCGGGGGTTGGGATGCGGTCACTTATTCTCGCTGTAGCGATTTTGGATGCCAAATGTCACGAATAGTAAAGATGTTCAGATTTCGCAGATTATTAAGCTTAATAACCATATAGCATAAATTAGGTTTTTCACAAAATTGTATTAAAAAATATTTATAACACTAGAAATATCATATAGAGTAAATTTGTTCAATTGGTTTCGATTGTAATTGGGTACGGATAGAACGGGGTTTTGGGTTCCAAAATTATATAACAACTAGCTTTTGCCCGCGGCTTCGCTCGCCGTTCTTAGGGGTGGAATTTATCAAAATCCTTTCTTAGGAGATGCCAACATCATAGAAGCTTTATGCATGTAATAATGCTCAGCCCGATCGGTTTAAAATTGGCAAAGTTTCATATAAACTTTCATCCCTTATTTTATTCCTTTGGGGGTAGAATTAATCAAAATTTTTTCTTAGCGGATACCTACATCATAACATCTACCTGCATGTCAAATTTCAGGCCGATCCGTCCAGTGGTTTGGGCTCTGCGTTGATAGATCACTACGTCAGTCACATTTGAGTTATATATATTTAGATACTAGAAATACCATATTAGAGTAAATTTGTTCAACAGAGATCTATTAATTATTACGACGAAAGAATATTGGTTTCGACGGTAATTAGGTACAGGTAGAACGGGGTAATGGGTTCGAAATTTATATAACAATTTAGATGGAATCAACAAAATTCAAACTAGATCAGATCAGTACTAAAGTTAAAAAAAAACTTAGTAAATTATTTTATGTCTGTATAAATTGAGGTATCTAAAAATCTGAGATATATCTTGCCAACAAACTGTGTTGCAGTTTAGCGAGTCATTGAATAAAAATAAATGTTTGTGCACCAGTAATGTAATGTAGTATCAGTATTAAATAAAATAAAAAAAATAAAAAAATACACATTATCATGGAAACAAAATTAAATTAAATGACTTTCAAAACATTGGTGAAACCGGTACGATCATACTGCGATCACTTTGTAAAAAGTCGTCTTTCGTTCAGTGATGCTGTAAAGATCAGCTGCGGCCAACAGCATTAGAATATTAAAAAAAAGCCCTAGTACTGTTCATGTATATACGAGTATATAGGCGACGTAACTAATAATAATAGTCTCAGGACAATTCACACAGCGCCATCTACACCTAAGTTAAGCTAGCTTAATCTTGTGTTATTGGTACTAGATAACTGATACAAACACATAGATTTTTTTCGAAAATACATATATAATATACATAATAAACACCCAGATAGATACAAACAATACTCATGAATACAAATGATTGTGCCGTGCGAGGAATCGAACCCGCGAACTGTTCTCTCTCCGCGCATCTCAGATCGCGCCCACTACACCCATCTCAGCATTCGGACTGGCCGTATGACACATTATATCCGTAGATAGAGTTCTATCGACCGTGCTATTGGAGTTAGCACTTCTTTTGTAACACTGGCTGACTACATTTCAACTTCAGACTTGGCTATCAGACGGCAGATAGACACAGATGAAGTCCCATCAAGCGTGCTATTTGGCTTTACAGTTTTATATCGGAATTTTCCATTTCTTTTATGGACGATATCCAATATTTGATACCTACCTAAGTGGAGCACAGAACAGATTTTTAAGCAAAACTTTTCATTTATAAAAGTCTAATTCGTATTTTAAAATATTTTTCAAAATTTCGAATGCATTACCAGATCATCTGTAAGAGATTGCTTTAGGCTATAAGGTCGCATTTTGTTTAGCATATTTATATGAAGTTCTTTTTTTTCTGTAAATATTTTCTCCGGATAATAAACATTGCATATCATTATTATAATTTTTTTTAATAATTCTAAGACAAAAGCATTCTAAATTCAAAAATATTTTCGAAATGAAATTTGAATTCTAAACAATATTTATAAATTACAAAAAACCAGTGCTGTGTGATGTTTTTTTTATCCAAGGTGTAATTTTTTTCATGTGAAAATAACAGTACTTTTTTCCAAAATATGTACTATTAACTTTAGAAATTGTGTTTATGACGTTACCATTTTTAAAACACCATAAAAATACCCAAAATAGATACGTAAGATATATAACAAAAATGTTAAGCTTAGTATTATTAACTTTAGAAATCAATCTATTTTTATACAAAGCTACTTAAATATTTACATATGAGTTTTATGAGTATATTTTAACTAAATAAACACAATAACAAAACCGTTTGCGTACGAGATAAATGGGGATCCATTTGTAGGGGTTAGAGCAAGCTCTCCCTGGGGCACTTGATTAATAAGATTGAATCTGCTTACGTTTGACTTCACTCACACGCCATAAAAACAAATAAGACCTCGGTGGTGTAGGTTTACCACATAACTTATGATGGGGTTCGATTCCCGCAGAATATAAACTTTTGTGATCATTTATATGACGATTTGTATTGATCTGTACCTTATATACATACGTGTCTCTTTGTCTGCCTATATATGTACAAAAAAAAAGAAAAATAAATATTAGGGGTGGACAACCCTTATCAACTAGGAGTATGAAAAATAGATAGTAGCCGCTTCTCAGACATACTGAATATGCATATAAAATTTCATCAGTCAAGTCGTTTCGGATGAGTATGGTAACTAACACTGTGACACGAGAATTTTATATATATATATAAGAGAAAGATTATGTTACTGTTACATCTGTAATATTAATAATATTATAAACGCGAAGTTTGTAAAGATGGATGTTTGTTACTCTTTCACGCAAAAACTACTAAACGGATTTTTTAAAACTTTACAGTATATATAGTTATGAATCAGACTAACACAGGCTATATTTTATATTGAAACTAGTTGAAAGAAAGAAAGAAAGAAAGAAAGAAAGAAAGAAAGAAAGAAAGAAAGAAAGAAAGAAAGAAAGAAAGAAAGAAAGAAAGAAAGAAAGAAAGAAAGAAAGAAAGAAAGAAAGAAAGAAAATATTTTATTCATATTTATGCCCGCGACTTCGTTTGTAAGGAATAGAGGGCGAATGAGAAATTTCCATTTCATCCCCTATTTATTTTACCCCCTAAGGGTAAATAACTTTGAATGTCATATTGATAGTCAAAAGCATAAAAAATAAGTTTTAAGCCTCTAGCTTTAAAAATGACGAATAGAACGTTTCATCTCCCATTTCAACCCCTTACAACCCTTCTTCGTACTAAAAAGTAGTCTGTGTCCTTTCTCAGGGTCTGTACTATCTGTATACCAAATATTATTTAAATCAGTGCAGTAGTTTTGGCGTGAAAGCGAGACAGACAGACAGAGAGTTAGTTTCGCATTTATAATATTAGTAAGAAGTAAGGATTTAACGTGACGGTGAAACCGCAGGCACAGGTAGTAACTAATAATTCTCTACAATACATTTTAAATTACAATTTAGTTATTACATTACCACGAAGCTAATGTTCCATATATATAACAAGCTAACATCACATCTGCCAGCCAACCTGTTGCATGCAAACCAAGTCCGAGCTATTTCGAAATGGATTTTGTTTGCTTCTATACTAGTATTTATTTCTATATTTTCATTATATGCCAGCTGATTTATAGCTCTATCAGTCAGCTGTAAATTGATTAATTTGTAATTAATATAATATATATGAAATTGATAGTTTATATATGTTTAGCCTACATGTTTTAACAGCTTACCCAATCCAATAAACCACAATTTGTAGATAAGTCCTTACTAATATAATAAATGTGAAAGTAGATATGTTTGTTACGCTTTCACACAAAAACTACTGAACCGATCATCATGTAATTTTGTACACATGTTCTTGGAGATATTAAAATAAACATAGGATACTTTTTATTAAAAAAAAAACAAATATTTATTATGAAAAAAATAATAAGATATCAACTTTTTGTTACAAAGCATATTCAATCATGTATATTTCAATGATCTCCGATACTTAATGGATTCAATGGGAGCGAAGCCGCGGGTATAAGCTAGTCATTATTATGAACAACATATACACATTAAACATTTAATTTATGCATTAACAAATATGTACAACATTAAAAAAAAAATACGAGCTGACTTTCTTGTCAGTTCTACTCATCTCGAAATCATTCCGAACTGACGGTAGATTTGACATATCATAAGAGTCTGTAATAGACCTACATGAATAAAGATAATTTGAATATGAATTTGAACGCGAAAGTTTGTGAGTATGGATGAATGTTTGTTACTCTTTTACGCAATAACTACCAAACGGATTTTAAATAAACTTTGCAGTAGTATAGAACATACCTATTAGTATTTATTCGTACTTATTGTTGATTGGCAATTTTCTCTTCAATTCCGTTATAATACAGTATATATTTCGTTGTACTTACCACAGTGATGGGATATGCCGGGTTTATGATGGTGTAGAGTAGTATGTGGTTGGGCCGCGCTGGTAGTTCGCGCTTGCGCCGCGGCTCACCAGCCATATAATTGTTGCCATTACTCTGTTAACAATAGAAATATTCACATTAAAGATATTATAATTAATATATTACTACACCGATTTAATTAATATTCGTCAATCAACGGGGTCAAGCAACGTTGGCACCGGTCATTTTCAGGATGGGTGACCGAGTCATACCTCGACCGTTTCAATCATTGAATGCGATCGCTAGATAACTACTAAAGAATGTTTTTATACTACGATGGTGACAAACAAGCACTCGACCTATCTGATGGTAAACGGTTACCGCCACCTAGGGGTGTCACGTACGCGTTACCGACTCTTGAGAAACCTTAATAAAACTTTCTTGAAAAACCCCATGCTTTAGTCTCTCGAGAAAACCTCGGCAGGTAACTCATTCTACAATCTAGTAAAAAAAGAGCTCCTATGAAACCGCACTGTCCGAGACCACATAGGTTCTAGCGTGTGAGATAGCAAAAGATAGCCGTAGGCATCATACCAACAAATTCTTCAGAACACAATGCGTAATATAATATACTTATACAAAAATATAATTGCACGTGTCATTTATTTATATTTACGTAACGACTTAAATAAAAGTTTCAAGCTTTAAAAATGACGATTCTTCCATACAACCTTGCATATCCCCTTTCAACCCCTTACAACCCTTTTTTCGCATTAAAAAGTAGCCTATGTCCTTTCTCAGGGTCTAGACTATATATGTACTACATTTCATTGTAATCGGTTCAGTAGTTTTGGATTGAAAGCGAGACAGACAGTTACTCGCATTACGAATATTAGAAGGATATATTCAAACGTCCAAAGGACACACGCTTCAATTTTATTCACAACAAAAACTTACTTTTCCTTTTATTACTGACTCCGTCAGAAATCTCAACAATAAAGTACTGAGTAATGCGTACACAAATAGACCGACATTAGACTATCGTCATACAATAAATCAAAATAAACGTACGGCCGCTGCAATTAAACGTCCGTGCGCCGACCGATAAATCAGCGTGAAGTTGCCGTGTTAAACGCGTCACAGTATCATTTACAGGCAGTAGTGCGATTTTTTTTTAATATATATCGAATCGATTTAGGTGTTATTTTGCGGAAGTCCATTTCACTACATGATAGATTTCTATTATTTTGTTTAATTCCGCTACAATTAACATGTGTGAGACTACGAATATTCGAACTCTATTCAACGTCTGATGATGCATCGTTCAGAGGCGAAACACATGTCGCGATATGGGTGTAGACTCAGTAACGGTCGGAACTTGATCGCCATTAGAGAAGGTCGTAACGGTGGTCAAGTTTCCACACCGAATATTTGCAGTCTCACATGCTAATTGTAGCGGAATTAAACAAAATAATATAATTCCATCAAGTAGTGATTTTTTTTTGTTGGGTGCTGCTTGTGGGGACTGGTCTGTTCGGATTACGAACACTGATTTGACTTTTGTCTTTGCTATAGCATATGCTGGTGGTCACTCAACTTGTTCTTAATAAACGGCTAAAACGTTTTAACTTGATAATGATTTTTTATTTGATTTGAAGTAAAAATGAGATAAGAAAGAAGTAGATGATGATGATGAAGCTAAAAAAGTTTCATAATTCGTATCATACTCTCTACAGAAATATTCGACAAAAATATATGTACTTCGTTTTGCACATAGTTTTTTAAATCAACGCAAATCATTCAAAATTCAATATCAAAATATGAATACAATTTCTCAAACGCAAAGACTCAAGACACTTTACCTGAAATGCTGTCACAAAAGGTACTTTTCCCAATAAATCCACCAATTCACGTAAAATTGCACATGAAAATGTATTCAAATACAATTGAATTGAAACACTGCAATTGTCAGAGGCTGCGAACACGCGTGTGTGTACACTGCGACAGGCCGAGGTGTCTCCGTTCGAGTGTCGAGTCATTCATTTGCTTGACTTGTTTTGAGTGCTGCTTGTTGTGATCTTGTTTCCACTCCGTCACTATTTGCACACTGAAGTTTAATATCTATTTCTTGATATATTTCTTGCGAAATGATCATTATAACCCTTTATGGCATATTATTTTTAATTTATTATGTTCGCATCCATTTACTCGACTTGTTTTGAGTGCTGCTTGTTGTGATCTTGTTCCCACTCTGTCACTATTTGCACACTGAATTTAATAATATACACATGGTCCTTAATATCTATTTCTTGCGAAATGATCATTATAACCCTTTATGGCATATTATTTTTAATTTATTATGTTCGCATCATTTTCGACATCCATGGCTGACTGCTAGAAATAACGGCGTACGGAGTAACTCCGCCAAAGGCAGTATTACCTTTTGTTTTATGTGCAATTGTAATAGAAATTGTGTCTACCTGTCTGTTTTTATACTTGCTACCTAAAAAGGAATTTAAATTATTTTTGTGTCTTTTGTTCTTGCTTATCTTTAAAACTGCTAGACCGATTTTGACGGGACCCGTCACTGGTAGATAGCTAATTTTATAAGGATAAACATAACTCTACTTACAATTTTTTTAAATACCTATTACTGTCGCAAAATGTAGTGTTCCCAATAAATCCATCAATTCACGTAACATTCCACACAAAATAGAATACAAATACAATTGCATTGAAGCACTGCAGTTGTCAGAGGCTGCGTACACGCGTGTGTGTACACTGCGACAGGCCGAGGTGTCTCCGGGCGAGTGTCGAGTCATTCATTTACTGTACTTGTTTTGAGTGCTGCTTGTTGTGATCTTGTTTCCACTCCGTCACTATTTGCACACTGAAGTTTAATATCTATTTCTTGATATATTTCTGTGAATTGATCATTATAACCCTTTATGGCATATTATTTTAATTTATTCTTTGCATCATTCTCGACACTTATGGCTGACTGCTAGAATTAATGTTTTGCGTTATAAATAAAATAGAGCAAAAATTAAATTCGCAGACAAAGTCGCGGGTACCAGCTGGTTATTAGCAAAAGTCACTGGTTCCGAAAGTTTCCAATTTTCCCACACCCTGAACCTGCCTCCCCCCCCCCCTCTTAAAACCAGTATTGCCAGTGTACGCCGCGAATGTAAGACAGACGAGAGAGCGTTGTAAATGCGTACACTTGGGCAGAATTAATTGCAACAAACAATTAGTTATAATGCCGAGCAAACGTAATAAGGCGACGCTGTATGAATATTCATCATCGTGAATCCAAGACACCGCTTCGGGTATTCTCTGGTGCGAATCACGAGCGAACGCAGCAAAAAAATAAAAATGTTACATCACAGAACCTACCTGCAACAATCTCATCATCGTGAATACAAGACACCGCTCTGGGTACACTTTGGTGCAAATCACGAGCGATTGTAACTAAAAAAAAATAAAAATGTTACATCATAGAACCTACCTGCAACAATCACATCGTCGGGAATACAAGACACCGCTCTGGTTACACTCTGGTGCAAATCACGAGCGAATGTACTAAAAAAAATATAAATGTTACATCATAGAACCTGCAACAATGACATCATCATGAATACAAGACACCGCTCTGGGTACGCTCTGTTGCAAATCACGAGCTATTGCAGCTAGAAAAAAAATTTACATCACAGAATCTACCTGCTACAATCTCGATAATCCATTCTAATATTAGATAATTAGATAAACTATACTTTATATGTAACATACAGTAAAAAAAGGAAGGGTTGTTAGTAAAACATTTCGACTTGTAAATGGAAACTCGCAGAGATTATTCAAAAGAGCAATACATAAGTTTCTTGCACGTTCTTCTTGTGATGAGACAGATTTCCGAATGAGCGGTATATTAAAAAAAAATATTATGACTATTCAAAATTGCTTAAATTAAATTTGTTTGAATAAAGGATTTTCTATTCTATTCTACTATATTCTAATGTGACTAATGACCCCATTGGCAGCAAAGTACAATATCAGATCGACCACCATGCAGTTCCTTCCATTAAGAAATATGATAATACTACTATGCGCGAGGTTTCACCCATGTAAATATACGTATATAATATATTGTGAAAGTTTCATTAAAATCCATTCAGCATTTTGCGTGAAAGTGTAATAAACAACCAGCCATTCATCCATCCACACTAAAAACTTCCGTGTTTGTAATATTAGTAAGCAACAGTAAAAGCTTATAACTTGCGCCAATAAGGAAGCAATTATTAAAATGTAAAATATCGATTACAATAAGTAATTACGTAACTGGTTCAAATCGGTAGCTTATTTCAACCGCACTGGTCTAAAAACACTGTTTTACACTACTCGTATAATGTACTAGCTGTAATGTATATATATATATATATATAATAATACTCGTATAATGTACTAGCTGTACCCACGACGGCCTGAGCCGAGGTTCGAACCCTAGCGGTGCCCTCAGACTAAAGTCGTATCCGTCAGGCAGGAGTTGGCCTTCAGCCGCTCCATAAGTCCTTCCGCGGGATTGGAGTGCCATCTGCACTCGCCCCTAACATCCGGTGAAGCTGTAAAGGCCAGCTACGGCCAACAGCATTAGAGTAGTCCGAAAAAAAAACTAGTTGTACCCGCGACTTCGTCCGCGTGGAATTTAACTTTATTTTTCCAAAACAAAAGTAGCTTAAGTTACTCCTTATTACATCAGCTACCTGCCAAAAAAAGTCCCGTCAAAATCGATCCAGCCATTTCAGATATTAGCCGGAACAAACAGAAAGACAGACAAAAATTGTAAAAAAAATATTTTGGTGTATGTACCGTATTTATATTCATATGCTTGTAGTAAAAAAACAATTATTTCAATATTACAAACAGACACTCTAATTTATTTATATGTATAGATATCGGAATGAGTATCCTAAATTAATAGGATTATGATTTTTGCAAGAAATCATTTTATTTAAATAAAAAAAAAAATAGATAAAAATAAATAGAAAAAAAAATTAAGATAAAACAATCACTATATAGCAGTCCACGAAGAAGAGAGTGGTGACCATTGCCTTTTCACAATCATTCCTTTCCATTCACTT